ATTTTCAATGATAGTTGCGCTCCATATGGGCCAAACCGGAAAAATTTTATATTTTTATAATTTTATTTATACAATAATACGGGCCAAATCGGAACAAACCGCGACCTAATTTGTGAGAGGAATCTCAATTAATCGGGTCCACGGAATAGAAATGGTGCTAAAGAATTTGTGCGAGTCATCATGGTCCATCCTTGAACCCCGCCCAATTTATCCTCTTCTTAAAAAAAAATTAAAAATAAAAAAGTGGAAATTACAGCATACCAGAAATTTAAACTTTCAATTTCAAAATTCAGATTTTCAAGTTTTTATTTCAAAAATCAGATGATAATTAAAATTTTAATAATTTAATTTTTAAAAAGATAAAATTAAAATAGATGAAACTACGATTCCAACTTCCACCAACCCTAAATCTCTCCACCTTTTTTGTGATGTGTTGATTTGTTTGAGTTGGCATTTCTATCGAGAGGTGGTGGTTCGGGTAGCGACAGTGGTAGTGGTGTTGTTGGGGGGAGTGGTAAAGCAGTGGTCACAACTGTTGGTTGTAGTCACAAATTATTTGATTGATTGTGACCATTATATTGGTTGATTTGTAACCAATATACAATATGTGAGCAATGAAAAAGATAAATTGTGACAAAAAAATAATGTGTGATCTAAAAAATTGTTAATTTGTGATCGATAAATAAATTGTGACGTATAAATTTTTGATTTGCGACTGATGAAAAAATTGTGACATATAAAATTTCAGAACCGTGATCGTAAAATAACGTGACATATAAAATTTGTGATTTGTGACCAATGAATCATATGTAACTTATTTATTTGATAGATTTGACACCGATGAATAAATTATATCGTATAAATTTATGATTTGTGACTGATAAATAAATTGTGATCTACAAAATTTTTGAATCGTGATCATAAAATAATTTGTGACATATAAAATTTATAATTTGTGACCAATGAATAATATGTGATTAATTATGTGAAATTTGTGACAAAATTATATGGAATTGTGACCTTAATATATTTAATTAATAAAATATATGTTGAAATAATTAATTCAAAAATAAAATCTAAAAAACTCTGAAATTTGAAATTTTAGACATAATATCTTAAATTTGAAATTGGTAAAACTAAACTTCTTATTTATGTAATCTTCCCAATGAAAAATAAACCTACAATCGAAGGCTTGTGGGCTTAATTAGTCCATTACAAATTAGGTTTTTGATGGAGAAAATTAACTAAGTCCCTGTATTTTAACTGTACTTTTTTAAAAAATAGATCTTTAAACTTATTTTTTTATATATAAATCAGTTTTGTTAATTAATTTTTTAATAATATTGTATATAATAATAAATTTATATTAACAGAAATTAAATAAAGATAATTTCAATTTCCTCCATTAATTTCACCCATCCCACCTGTTATTCTCGCTATAATAGTTTTTCTTACTTCAAAACTTACCTACAATAATATCGTGAAGATGAAGGACGATCGTCCCCACCACCAATCACCAATTTCCACCACCTACCGTCGACGAAATCTGCTCCCAAACACTTCACCTTCGATTGGTTTCGCAACACCGTGTGGTGCAATATTTCAAGCCCTTTCCAGGCTTATCTGATATATCTTTAGGGCTGGTTTCTCTACACCTTTGAGGCCTGAGAACACACCAAGGTCCCAATCGGATCCCTGAATCCAAGAAATTGTGAAGATTATTGTTATGAAGGAGAAAAAGAGGATCAATGGAAGTGGTGACAAAAGAAGAAGAGAAGCAGACGCAAGCTACAAAAGGAAAAAGAAGAGAGCTAACGGTCACAACCAATTTTCAAATTCAACACGGCATCGCTTTGGTTTAGGAATAAACAATGTCGTTTTGAGTTGTAAACAATTTCGTTTGAGTTGTAATCAATTTTAACAGTCAGTCATGTTTTCCTTCTTAGCATTCACGTTTTCTTCATTGTTAGTTGGTTATATAGCTGTAATTAGGAAAATAGTAAAAGTGTGATGTGAATTGGATTCTTCTTCTCCAAGCTTTCCTCTATCTCTTTCTCTTTCTTCATCAATTTCTCCGTAATTTCTCTTATGTTGTTACCGTTTATTAAGAAGTAATAAAATTCCATTTGTCGATTGAGTTTATTAATCCAAGTTGCGTGTAATTGGCGTGGTGTTGAGGATCAACCATTACATTTGGTATCAGAGCAGTACGTGAACTGGGAGAAATGGGAACCCAAAACAAAGCTAGGAAGAGCATATTAAAATGATTGATAAGGATGTGGGTGAACTGGGTGTAGCCTATCAAAGCACAGACCAAGCTGTAAAGCATCTATGTGGCGGCATGATACACTAAAGGGTTAATGGTGGAGATGAACAAAAAATATGAAAATATTGTAGGGATGTTGGCTAAGATGAGTGGAGGATTAGTTAGTTCTAGAAATTCTTCACCTAAGGAAATGGCAAAGCAATACGAATAGAGGGCCACCAGACTCCCATTCTGTCGGAGCAGAGAGTGCTAAAAGTTGTGATAGGGAAGTCTTCTTCGCAAGGAACCAATAGGGGAGATTACAAGTTACACAAAACTCCCTAAGATTGATTTTCCATACTTTAGTTGGGAGGGCCCTAGAGAATGGATAAGGAAGGCTTGGAAGGATTTCTCGATCCACCAAGTGCCTGAGGAGATGAAAGTGGGCATTACTTAAATGTATTTGAAAAGAAAAGCAGATATATGGTTTCATGGGTTTATAACTAGTTTTCCAGATTCGGACTGAGGTACATTTTCCACTGAAATCTGTAGATGAATTGCAGAAAACACAGCTAAAGAAGTAATTGAAGTGTTCAGCAAACTATGTCAGAAGTGATCTATTGCTGAATATAAGGAACAATTTGAAGAATTGACATCTCAAGTGATGTTATCACTGACTCATCTAACCGAATCCTATTACATCTCTATATTCATTAGTGGCCTGAAGGAGGAGATCAAATCTATGGTGAAAATCATTAAGCTTACAACCTTAGCCAAAGCTTTTGAAGTGGCTATAATGCAGGAGAGCACCATTACAGCCATAAATAAAGGAGCAAAAACTTATAAACCTTATGCACCAGCCAAATGGACCCCAACTAATACCAAACCAATTGGAACCACCCATAAAGATACGTCCCTTAGTGAGCCAAATACAAAGAACTCAAGTAACTCTTTGAAGTTCAAAGCTATTACACATTATGATTTCCAAATCAAGAGATAATTGGGGCTGTGCTACAGGTGTGATGAGAAATACATACGTGACCATGTGCGTTGGAATAGGATGCTGAACTTCATACTTATAGATGAGGAGGAATAACGGAAAGATGAAGAATTACCTGGAAGGGAGGGAGAGCAAAAAGTAGAGAACGAATTGAGTGAAGTAATGGAGATTTCAATTATGCCTTAATGGGCGACAATCGAACTAAAACTTTTAGACTCCTAAAGAGCATCAAGAACATGATGGTCTCTATCCTTATTGATTGTGGGAGTACTCACAACTTTATTGATGAACACTTGCCTAGGAATCTCAATTGTAGAATGCAGTCAGTTAATCTAGTGAATGTAACAGTGGAAGGTGGAGAAAAATTAGTGAATGATGCCATCTGCAACCTATTGACCTGGAAGATATAGGATTTGGAGTTTCAGTATTAGTTGAGGGTGCTCAAATTGGGAGGTGGTGACATGGTTCTTGGAGTTGATTGGTTGAGCCAGTTCAATCCTATGCTCTTTGAATTCTGCGAAGGAAGTATAACATTCACTCATGGTAGTACCAAGTTGGAACTAAGTAAGGAGACTATTAATGAAGAGTGTCATATGATGACAGAAGAAGAGGAAATGAGCTGGTTCAAGGGCTAAACTTATGGAGTGATAGCACAAATTGACATAAGTGTTGACAAGAGGCCAGAAGTAGTACCAACTGAAATTCAGGCAGTGGTGGACGAATTTCCAATGGTTTTCTCTGAGCCAAAAGGCTTACCTCCACTCAGGTTCAACGATCACCACATACCAATTAAGGAGGGGGTACAACCCTTCAAACTAAGGCCATATAATACCCCTACACACAAAAAATAGAGATTGAAAGGTTGGTTAAAGAGACGATGGATAGTGGAATAATTCAACCAAGCACTGGCCCTTATGCATCTCCTGTTTTACTGGTCAAGAAGAAGGATGGTACTTGGAGGTTTTGTGTAGATTATAGGCAATTAAATAGCCTGACCATCAAAGAAAAGTATCATATGCCTCTGATTGATGAGCTACTAGATGAATTAAAAAGAGAAAATGGATTACTAAGATAGACTTGAGAGCAGGGTACCACCAAATCAGGGTTGCTAAGGAAGACATTCACAAAACGACTTTTAAAATACATGAAGGGCTCTATGAATTTAGGGTAATGCCCTTTGGACTCACAAATTCTCCCCCCACTTTCCAATGCTTGATGAATGAAGTTTTCAAAGAACAACTAAGGAAATATGTGTTAGTCTTCTTTGATGACATATTGGTTTACAACAAGGACTTAGAGACCCACAACAAACTTGTATTTGAGGTTTTAAAGTAACTGAAAGAACACCAACTTTATGCTAAAATGAGTAAGTGTTCATTTGGGCAATCCAAGACAGAATACTTAGGGCATATTATCATTACTGAAGGTGTGTTTGCAGATCTTTCCAAGATTGCTGCTATGCAAAAATGGCCTTCACCTTCAAATGTCAAATAATTAAGGGGGTTCTTGGGACTCACTGGCTA